AAGTGGACTCAATTTGCACTAATTCTGGCAGTCTGCAACCCCCCTTAATCTGTTTCTTCACTCGCTCTGCAGCTGAAAAATTAAGCCAGGGTGTGCACCAAATTCTACCAAGCTTCAAGAAGTGGGAGTGGGAAAGATCTTCAGCTCTACTCTGACTAGGAGAAGTGCTGTCTTAAACAGCATCACAGTACGAGAAAGGTACATGTGTGATGTTAGGAGCAGTGTGAAACCCTACCCATTTGTTCCAGTTGGACCACTGATGAACCACAGAGTTGAAAGACACCAGAGGGGCCATCCAGTCCATCTCCCTGCCTCGCAAATAGACATGTACAATTAAAGCACTCCTGACAGATTGCCATCCAACCTCTTCTTAGAAACCTCCAAAGAAGGAGACTCCACTGCGCTCTGAGGCAGCGTGTTTCACTGTCACAGCTCATAACAACAACAACAATAAATTTTATTTCTAACCCTCCCCTCTGCTTCAGCAACCGGGGTGGCATACAACAAAATTAAAACCGATACAGATTAAAACATTCCGTCAACCAATCCCTAACCGTCCCACCCCTTAAAACTAAATCAAACTAATGCAAAGTTAAAATGACACATAGAATGCTCTTACCATCAGAAAGTTCTTCCTATTGTTTATGAGGGCGGAATCTCATTTTCTGTAGTTTAAATCCATTGCTCTGTGTCCTCATCTCTGCAGCAGCAGAAAACAAGTTTGTTCCTTCTTCTATATGATATGTTTTCAGATAGTTAAACATGTCTGTTGTGTCACTTCTTAACCTTTTCTTCCTCAGTCTAAATATACCCAGCTGCCTTGTTGACATTTACTGTATATATTCATGAACAAGTCTAGAAATTTTGGTAAAAAAATTGACCCAGAAAACCTGGATCGACTTGTCCACAGGTCAATGTAAGTCCTGTATTTTAACTATTATCAAAAAAGGAACCATCTCCTGGTGAAAGGCAAGAGCATAATCTGTCCTGGAAGCACTGACCTCCCTCTGTTCTCTCATTCATCCAGCCTTCAGTGTGAACACAAACAGTTGTACCTGCTGGGATCTTTAAGTTCTTTGGCAAAAATTTTCTTTGTTTCATCCTTTAGGTCCTTTGTTACATGCCCTTAACTTTTACCATTGACTTATCCACGGGTCATGTAAAAAATCCATAATTTTGTCCCCCAAACCTGCCTTTGACTTATACATATGGTCAATTTATTGTTGAGTATATACAATATCTGAACTGGTTTTGGGGCTGCAGTACTGTGCCCATTTATTTGGTAGTAAACTCCATGGAATTCAATGGGACTTACTTTTGAGTAAACATCCATCTAGTTGGGTGGGTGTTTGTGTATCACTTCTCACAACACTGTGCCCTTGGTCATCCTGCTTTTGGAAGACTTTACAGAAATAAAGTACCATTGTAGTATAAGTATGGTACACAAATACCAGTTCAATAATCTGCCAAAATGACTGGGAAAAGTCGCATTACATTGATTGCATTGTACTAAAAATGGTTGCATGTAATGGCCCTCAGTTACTTGATTTCCAGAGAAAACAGTTCAGTCACATTCTTCTCTAAAGAATTTGACACCCATCGTGCCCATTCAGCATCCTTGCAGAGTTTAGAGGAAGGAACATTTAGCTAAAAGCTTTTTCATCAGAAATTTCAAAAACACTGATTCAGATACTGTTACACAAAAACCACTATAATTGTGCAATACTTATTCAAGAAATCAGCACTTTCCTGAGGCAATATACTGAAATATACAATTCAGATACCATTAGTGTGTTAAAACTGCCAAGCAAAAAGAAAAAAGGTTAAATATGTACAGAAACCACACATTTCAAAATAAAATAGTTATTTTCAGCAAACAGTCTCTATAGATGTTGTTGAAGATGGAGCAGTGTCATCTACATAAAGATAACTTGGTGAAGTCCTTCTGGTGCTAGACTAAAAGTGAC